AAAGTCCGAATTTTGGAAAATCAAAAAAAAAAAAAAAGAAGAGAAGAGAAGAGGAATCAGCCAGCTGGTAAAGCTTGGATCATGCCAGACCCCCCAAATCATAGATCAGGGGTAGGCAAGCCTGGCACTCCAGTTATGGTTAAACTACAAATCCCATCATACTTCTAGGAATCAAGTCTGTGGATGTCAGTCTTGCAATGCCTCATGGGACCTGTAGTTCCACAACAGCTGGCGTGCCGAGCTTACTGGCCCCTGTTATAGATGCTTCCTGCAATACCTTGATGAACACTGCTGAGGCCCTGTGTGTATCTGATGATTGCTATGTATGAACGTATTAAATCAGTGTTGGCACATGTGTGCTCCAGATTTATAAATCGTTCCCTTCACAGGGCCACAGACGGCTTCTGGAAAGTTCAGAGGACACATTCTTCTCTTAAAGAAAACCTGTACTGAAAGAAATAAGGAGGCTGCCATTTGCCTGGCAGAGGTGAAGCTGGGTCTCTGGTAATAAGAGTATAACTTGGGCAGGGGCCCTTTAACCCCTTCGTGACGGGAGACGTACAGTGTACGTCCCGTCACAAAGTGGCTATATGACTGGCCACGTACACTGTACGTGCCGAGTTATATTAGCCTCTGTAATGCTGGTAACTGCTGATTCTCAGCAGTTCCAGTCATTAATTAATGCCTCACTATTGAGACATTCATTAATGAAATAGTTAAGCTTTTTTAAAAGCTTCTTTCTTTCATTAATGAAAGAATGAAGCCTTTACATTCAGATACGGGTTCGCTAAATAGCGATCCCGTATCTGACAGCTGAAGATAGCAGAGAGGTAGCAGTGACTCACCTCTCTGCTATTCGTTTTGACAGCTGGAGAGCCTGGCCCGATGTTAAATGATACATTTCAACCACTAGATACAAAATGTATCTCGAGTGAAATGTATCACTTCTGATCGTCTAGGAACGATCAAAGACCTTTAGTGAGATCTGATTCTGACATGCTGTCAGGATCAGTCTCTAAAGTTATTATTAGCTGTTCCTAAGCTTGGAGCAGCCTGATAATAACTAAAAATGTTAAAAAGTTAATTTATTAAGCAGTCATAGTGATTGCTTGATATAAACTGACAAAAAAAAAAAATTTTTTTTTTACACTTATTTTTTTTACAAAGTGTAAAAAAAAAAAAAAAAAAGTGTACAAAAAATTAGGAAAATAAAACGTTTATATATAAATATATTTGTATACTATAATTATTATTAAAAAAATTCTAAAAATAATAATAATAATCAAAACTTGCTGCTGTGGAAGAATCACACAGCAAAAATGTAAAAAGTGTGTCAGTCATTTAGGAACAGAAACTAAAAACTAGCTCAGTCATGAAGGGGTTAAGGACACACTGTCACTTTGAACTGAATGGGCAAAGTGACAGTGTCAGCCGACCTTAACTCACCAAATAAACTTTCCCCCAGTCAGTAAAAACGACATTTAAACATTTATTTTTTATTTACTTTTTTTTTTTTAAAGTGTTTTCTGCTTGCGCCACCCCCTGCGCCAAACACACCTAGGTGAAAATGTCGTTTTACCTTCCCCTTCCTCCCCCCGGGGTTACTGAAGTAACATATCCCAGGGCTCAATACTTCCAACATTGAATGGGGGAAGTCAACAGAGCCGGCGCCAGATCTTGTACATTCCACTGTGTCAGTTTACTTCCACCATTCTATGAATAGGGGAGGTACTGCCTCCTCGGGTTATGTGACATCAATATCCTGGGAGGCATTAATATCCTCCATTCATAGAACAACATGCAAACAAACATGGCACCAGATCTTTGCCTATGCATGAGTAAGATCTGGTGCCGGGTCACTTTGGGGCCGGCTCTACGAACCAGAAGGAGACAGCTAGGTCCCTGACATAACGAAGAAGATGGCGGTGCGGGACAGAACATGTAGCAGGACGGAGGTGGGAGAGAAGAGGACACGGCTGGATCCGCTGGACTTGTATGTTTGTTGTTAAAGCACAAGAACAGCGCCCCTATTTAAAACAGAATCAGATCAATCAAATCTTAACCCCTGCAGTGGGCTACCCCCCACGCTCAGTGGGGAAGCAAGACATTCTGTCACCCGGGGCAAAGGCTCAGAGTTACACCCCCCCCC